CAGCTCTCTCGTGCTCCTCCTCAAGATTCACCTGCTTCCGGCTCTTTCACCTGACTGTGTGGCTCTGAACAGAAACTAAATACTTTCTTTTTCAAACGGATTGAAAATAAAATATTGCTCAAATAGTTCCAGTTTTCAACATCGTTATAAAGAAAAAATATTTCACATTATGTAAATAACATTCATGAAATTCCTAACTTACTGCATCGTATGCAAAATCCAAGTTTTAATATTACTGAATAAGCCCTTTTATTCTTAGTTAATCTACTGATGAACTCACACTTATGAACAAATGCAGTTATTAAGCCTAAATGTCAATGTTCTGCATCCTCCCCCTTCAAACTGTCTGCATGTCCTCATGAGACAAACTATACCACGCAGAGATAAGGAAGGATTAAAGACAAAGATCTAACATCATAGTTTAAAAACTTCTTTATGAACAGTAGTAATCATCTGGTCTCCAGCCTTTCCTGTTTTATCATAAGTTAAACAAATGACAGGTTTTGGTTAGGTCTAGGTCTAAGGTTCATATTTTTTCTTAGTGGAAGACTTGGGTTTAGACTTGGTAGTACTAACAGGTGGGAAATGTAGAACTAATTGAATAACAGATTTAGGGAGTGGTGGCGCAGAGGTTAGAGAAGGTGGGCCTGTGATCGGAAGGTCGCCGGTTCAACTCCTCAGATCAACAACATCAAAATGTGGATGGCAAAGGTGTAACACCCACACCTGTCTCCATCCTCATTTGCCCCATTCTGGGCCCTTGAGCAAGGCCTTTAACCCCCACCATCTGCTCCCCTGGGCACCCTAGATAGCAGCTCTCTGCTCCACACAGAGGGCTGTGATGGCTCGGTGGTCTGTGGTTGCGTCAAGAAGGGCATCCGGCGTAAAAAACAGTTGCCAAGTCTTTGTGTGAGTTAGTTCACTCTGGCGACCCATGAAGAACGGAGCAGCCAAAAATATATATAAGTACTAACTGGTATTTATAGTCTTCCTGAGGTCTGGCTCAGAGGCAGAGTGATCTGAGTCACAAGTATGAGTACTGACATCAGCTTCTTTTGACTTCTCATCTTGTCTCTCATCAGGTGTTGGTTCCACCTGTCTCCAAGGTCTTTGACTTTTCTTTTAGATGACTTGCCTTTCTGAATGGGTGAAGACTATTTGACAAGCTTTGTGAGGGCTCTGAAAATGACTTAATAATTTGCCACAAACCTTTGATAATATCTGCAGAATCCCAGGAAAGACCTCAAAGATGTCAGATCTTTTGGCTGGAGCCAGCTGGTGACAGCACTCACTTTCTCAGGATTTGTGGCAATGCTTTGTGCAGATATTATGCGCCCCACAAATTTCACTCTTGATCGACAAAACTGACAATTGTCTAGAGGTGCGTGGTACGGGGGCTTCAAAGCTGCAGAAAGGAAAGCTCTGCAGAGAGTGGTGAAGGCTACATAGAAGTCTGTTGGTGTCAGCCTCCACGCCATCACACCTCCAAATGCAGGAAGAGGGCCTGCATCATGAAGGACCCCACTCACCCAGCACACATACTTTTTGCCCCGCTCCCCTCAGGCAGAAGGTTGTGGAACATTAAGTGTAGAAACACTAGACTGAGGAACAGCTTCTACCCTGAAGTTGTTAGACTCAAAAATCTAATAAAAAAATCACCTAAATCACTAATCAGGATTGTCACTGTAAGAAAAAGAGAAATCACTTTAATGTCACTTTAAATGGTGATGTGTGACTTATGTAGTGAACTTGACCTGATGTCAAATCTGACCAGATGGACAGAAACTGTTATTTCATTGATCTGCATCCAGAAATACAGTTTGACCCATCTGGAGACTTTCTTTCTTGAATTAATCAAGTAGAAAAGACAATTCTCTAATTTTGATAATCAAATTGTGTTAGTTCAAACAATGTTTACAGGTTGAAGAGAACTACTCATTTTTATTTACATAAACAGTAAGTAATGATTTTTATTCCTCATTCAAAGAAGAAATCAGGGTAATATGCATTTCTTGATTTTTCTGTCTTCAATGAGCAAGTTTGTAAGTGTGTGTTAAAGTTCAGGTTTCGGTCAACTAAAAAGTTTACTGAAAAGAAATGTCATGTTTAACTTTTACAGAAGATACAGGAGAGTTTGACTCCACGAAGTCTGGTTTTCTCCAATAATCTTTCTGTCTGTTTTAAACAATCTTAATCTCTATCCTTGAATTTCCATAACACCTTACATCACAAACCACACCTCTGTTCTGGTCCATCGACCAATCAAAAAGCTCTCAAATGACCCGGAAGTCGAACCCATTTAAATGTGGCAACTTCCCAGTTCTCAATGAGAAGTGTCGTAAAAAAGTTCCGTTGTCGTGTCGAGACGAGACGTGACGAGATGAAAAGAGCTTTGAAAGAGTTGGAGACGTAAAGAGTTCAGAGTTCTTGGATGCAAACGCATTCAAGATGATCCAGAGACGGTTTTGGGGATTATAACTTCTGTTTGGATAACCTCACATGACTCCTAAAGGTTGTTAGCTGTCCTCACGGAGACGCTGAAACGAGTCAAAAGAAGGACTTCACGCCGACCTGATCTATCATCAACCAGGTAAAAGTTCTATTTCGACCAAGCGTACCGTTTGGGCCAAGCTGAGATCTGAAAGAGCGTGCCCGTTCTGGTCAAACAGATAAATTCCCTCACACATCCCTCTGTAAGATAAATCTCCATTTTCCATCTTAAACTCTCCTTTCTCCTAAAATCATTACAGATATTTTAGAAATGTCTGAAGCAAAGTTTCTCAATCACCACCGTGTGATTGATGTCTGCTGGTCTGCCGAAAAGTGACAACAATCTCCGTATTGTTCCCACTTCCTGTGAAACTAGCCATGTTATTGTTTTCATATTTTGCCAAATTAATGTAAATGTTTGATGTTAAACTTTGATTCTGTAAATAAATGACCGCATTCATTTTGATGGGTCAAAGATAAATAACGTCTCTCGTTTACGTTTCTGTTAAACTCAATGCACGCATGTTACACAGTCAGAAAAATGAAGAACCCGTGAAATGTATGAATATATCCTGCATATGTCATACTACACTTATCTGAGCTGCTGATTATCCATGCTGCTGATCTCATGATGCTGTATTTATTCATACCCATCTACTCATTACAGACTCATGTTCGGGCTGCTGTTTAATACACTGTATTGTTTTACATTATTAGTGTTTAGTGTATATCTTATATCTTAGATCCTTATACTGTTTCTGTTTATACTTTATACAAATTTATTTTTTGCTGTTTTTGGGTATAACTAGGATCTTGAGTACACAATTTAGTTCCACCTTATGTACCACATGTGATGCGAATAACAGAAAAGAAACTTAAACTTGTTGTTTGTTTCGTTTGTCTCTATGTGGCCCTGTGATGGACTTGCGGCCCATCCTGGGTGTCCCCTGCCTCTCGCACAGTGATAGCTGGACATGAGCACCAGTGACCTCTGTGACCCAATAAGGAAGAAGTGGGTAAAAATAATGGATGGATGGATGGTTTCATAACAACTGAAGTTTCATCCATCCTTCCTTCCATTATCTTGTCCCATTTCTTCCTTTTTGGGTCACAGGGGTCACTTGTGCTCATGTCCAGCCATCATTGTGCAAGAGGCATGGGACACCTTGGACTGGTCTCCAGTCCATCACAGGGCCACATAGAGACAAACAAGGCAAACAACCACTCTCTCACTCACACCTAGGGACAATTTAGAGTTAAACAAATGAAGTTATAAAGCCTAAATGTCAAAGGGCTACACAAATTTTCAAGCTATAGCAAACATTACTTCAGTAACTGCAGCAAAACAACACAAACAGGATACTGGTGATATGATCAGTGTACTGTGCGAAATACATTGATTTTACAACAAAAGCTAAAAATGTGAGGTGTCCAAAAATTGTGCAGGTTTATTTTTAGATTAAATTTGTCATTTGAAATATATTTATGTTTTTGGACAGATTCAGTTGGACTAGCTACCTTGAAAGCTAAAAAAAAAAAAAAAATTCTGGGTTGTATAACTAAAAGAATTAAAACAAAAGTGTTGTGTAAAATTGAAGTCTTTCCTATCTGGCCTTTTTTCAACGACAAAAAAAAATTATATAACTGAAATAGCAGCATTCAAACACTAACATTAATAAACAGGTATAAGCAAAATTACAGATGTACTTCAACTCAAGATATAAGTCATTTTGTCTTAACCAACAGGGTAACAACACAAAAGTTCTAAATAAACAGCAAACGTTTGTAAGTGAGAATATTAAAAGTAAAATCTGAAAACATTTAAGTAAAAATGAACCAGGCTCAATTTTACCTATAA